ATACATAAATCAAAGATGACGACCATAATGAAAAGAAGTGAAGAGAAAGAAGAAGAAAATGAATAGAAGGACAAGAATAAAGTCCAAAACAAGAAGAAGAGGAAAAGAAGGTGAGAAAAAAGAATAAAGAAGAGAATGAGAAAAAAAAATGATGATAACGAAAGAAAGGAGAAAAAAGAAGTCAAAGAACAAAAAGGAAAATAAAAGAGGAATTGTGGACCAAGAAAAAGAAAAGAAAAAGCAGAAAGAGAAAAAGAAAAGAAAAGGCAGAAAGAGAAAAAGAAAAAGGAGAAAAAGAAAAAGGAGAAAAAGAAAAGAAAAAGCAGAAAGAGAAAAAGAAAAGAAAAAGGAGAAAGAGAAAAAGAAAAGAAAATGCAGAAAAAGAAAAAGAAAAGAAAAAGCAGAAAGAGAAAAGAGAAAGCAGAAAGAGAAAAAGGAAAGAGAAAGAAAAAAGGGAAAAGAAAGCAGAGAGAGAAAAAGAAAAGAGAAAGCAGAAAAAGAAAGAAAAGAAAAAGCAGAAAGACAAAAAGAAAAGAGAAAGCAAAGAGAGAGAAAGAAAAGGGAAAGAAAAAAGGAAAAAGAAAGCAGAAAGAAAAAAGAAAAGAGAAAAAGACGAAGCAAAAAAAGAATGACGAGAAACATGAAAATATTATTGAAATGGTAATAAGAATATTAATAAATAAATAATATTAATATTAATATTTATATTAATATTAAATGGTAATAGCAACATTAGCCGTTTCCTTATAAGGAAATATTCGGCATTCATTAGTCGAGCAGCTAGTTCTACTTTTGGTTGAAATTTCTAAAATCTTTCTCTTAAAATTTAGGAAAGTAGGTTTCTCAAGTCCAACTTATTCATCGCCCTTTCCTGCATTAATGGGAGTTTCCTTCCTAAGCTTTTGTTTGAAGTTGTGTGGAACGTCAACATCTTGATTATGTCATAATTTTCTCGTCGAGTTACATGTGCTATCTATTTTGGTTGTTGCCGTTGTTGAAAGTCTTCGCGTCATTCAATCTCTTTTATTTGGTACAGTTCTTTGTTTGTGACTTTGCCAGTCTACAAAATTCGAAGAAGTATTGTCCTTGCTAAGACCTACAGGTTTCATTTACTCGAAGACATTTTAACCATGGATCTGAGATGGCGAATCTATAAAGAGATCAATTTAAAAAATCTTCAAGAGAAGAAAAAAGAATAAATAAAATTAAAGGCTATTACTGCGGTAGCAGTCTTTAATATTAGTATTTCTATTAGTATTTTATTAGTACCTTACAGTTGTTACTATCGTTCTTATGAAGATCGATTGCTTTGATCTCCTGAATGTTTCTACAGAAATTGTTACTCTTATATTATCCATAATTCGTTTCGCTAGTCTTGCTGGAGGTCAAGTGACACCAAGAATCTTCAATGCCATTTAACTCCAAATGTTTATCTTTATCCAGTTTTTACTCCGTACTCCACCCAAACAGCGATATCCTCATCCTATCAGATTTTCTTCTTGATCACACACATTTCACATAAATAAAGTTCTTCGTAATGTGTGACCTATAGTTGTTAGTCCATTTTTTTTTTTTGTATTTCTTTAAGGCATGGGCAACTAAGAATCCCTATCGAAAACTTTTACAATCAGTCCGAAGGCTCCAACTACAACTGTAATTATTGATGCCCTCAGGGGCCATATTTTTGACATTCCGATTTTATGATCCTTGTACATTGATATTTTTTGAATATCTTCAAAGATACATTACAATCAGCAGGGACTGCCATGTCAATAAGAAAGTATATTCTGTTTTTGTGGTCTCTGATCACAATGTCTTATCGATTAGCTTTGTTTGTTCTGTCTGTGCGTATTGTAAAGTCCCATAAAATTGTTACAGATCCTGTAACCGGGTCTGGGTGGTGTTCATACCAATTTCGTTTAATTTCGTAAAATCCACGTTTGCACCATTTTTGTTCAAGAGGTAGTATGTCATTTTTTTTAGGAAGGAATTTATCTGTTTTATCAGAATAGATGTCAACAGATTGTAATGGGAAGACATATAATTGGTCTATAGTTTTGGGGATATTTGTGTCACCATTTTCGGGGAAAAGGAAGGTAATTCCTTAGGTTACCCATACCGGAATTTTAGTAGGATCACTGATCATTTCTTAAAGTTCTTTGGCTAGTTTTTTGAGTGCTGTATTTAGATAATAGAGCCAAAAGTTGAGTTTTATCTATTCCTGTTGATTTCCAATTGTGTGTTTTTTCAGTGCACATTCAACATCCTCTTCTCTGATTTCCGCCCATATTTATTCTGGTTTATTTTTCATCCGTTCTACCTTTTGCGTAATCCAATCTGCTTCTTTGTTATGTTATTTAAGCCCATATTTATCCCAGAACTGTATAACGTCTTCCATTTTTTTTTTTTTTTTGGTAGGGTCACTTGAATTTTTCGTTTGCTTATTTTTCTGTAAAATTTCTTCACATCGGATTGAAAGATTTTGTTCTGTCTGTAGAATCTTGATCTTTTTTCATAGTGTCTAATTCTTTGAGCATTATTATTATTATTATTATTATTATTATTATTATTATTATTTCCTTTAATTTCTGGTGTGCACTCATTCCTTTCTGTGTCCCGACCAGAGACCTAAGGTTAGAAATGACGTCATGACATTTTCCACTGAACAATTTAATAAAAACACATATTTTGCATAGATAAATCCCTTCGTAAGATGTGGGCTGTACTCGTGAGAACATCTTTTTATTTTGTTTTTCTTTAAGGCATGGGCTACCAGGAATTCCTTCAATGAGTCTATTGGAATCTTTTCCAATCAATCCGAGGGCTCCAGCTACAAAAGGGATTGTTGATGTTCTCATGTGCCACATTTTCCGATTTCGATTTCAATGTCCTTATATTTTGACAGCTTTTTGAAGATCTTCAAACATATATTGCAGTCTGCAGAAACTGCCATATCAAGAAGGCAATTTTTTGTTTGCGGTCTCTAATAACGATGTCTTATCGATTAGCTTTGATTGTTCTGTTTGTGTGTAATTGTGAAGTCCCATAAAATTGTAACAGATCCTATCTCCGTAACCGGGTCTGGGTGATGTTCATACCGCTTTCTTTCAGTTTCCTTTCCGTAGATTTTCCAATGCAGATATTGGCCCACTCTATCATGTCGTATTTTATATTCAGTGGGTGACAATACCGTGCAACCTGATACAATATGATCAATTGTTTCTGGATAATTATCACAGAATCTGCATTTGGTGCTAACATAATTTTTCAGTATGTGTGCTTGATAATTTCTAGTTAACAAGCATTGGTCCTATGCAGCATGAATAAAACTTTTGATTTCAGCTTTTAACCCTGCACTACGTAGCTACTGATGGGTACAGGGTTTGCTACATCAGTTTGTTTGGTACGGACAGAATAATGACCGTGAAGCGGATTATCTTGCAATCGTTTCTGTATCTGGCCAGTTTGCTTTTGCTTTCTTTTTAAAGTATTTTACAGCTTCAGTCAGTGCATTGTGCTTTACTTTTATTTCTTTACCCATTATGTTGGTGTCGCATATTGACATAGTCACTGGACATTCTTTTCCTAGGGAAGAATTTTTCAAAGAATCCTTGTAGAATAAATGATGGCAGTTTCCAGGAGGTCTGCAATTTTGCCCTCAATTCCCCCGGGCTTTTCAGTTGTCTCGGTGGGGTTCCAGGTGCACCCATCGTACAAGAATTGCTTCAACAGTCATTTTTCATAATTTTTCAACTCCCTAGCCAGATCCTGGTATTTTTCAATCTTTTCAGTTTCTTTGGATTCCATTCTTGTATCATTATAGAACAGCAAGTTTAATTAAATGAATCTTGGTATTCTTTTTATCTATAACAATAAGATTTATAATGTATTCGTGTTTCAATGAAGTGATCTATCTGGTCCGAGAATTCTCAGATTTTATCTTGTGACTGTCATTTTCTGCCACTGGTTCCTAACATTTCTCTTTCACACTGAAGCCAAATATATTTCAATGGATTCGCTTGTTATTAGTCCAGTCATGTCGTCACTTCTAATCCTTTTGTGCTAACTTGGGACATTCACAAAGTGTGTGGTTAACTGTCTCATCAGATTGTCCACACACCTTGCATTAGCTATTATTATTATTATTATTATTATTATTATTATTTCCTTTGATTTCTGGCGTTTACACATTTCTTTCCGGGTCCCGCCCAGGGACCTAAGGTTAGAAATGGCATCATGACACTTTCCACTGACAAAAAAAAAATACATAGACAAAACCCTTCGTAAAGTGTGGGCTGCACTTGTGAGAACAATTTTTTGTATTTCTTTCAGGCATGGACTTCCAGGAATACCATCAATTAGTCTACTGGAATCTTTTCCAACCAGTCCTAGGGCTCCAGCTACAACAGGGATTGTTGATGTTCCCCTTTTTGAGATTTCTATTTCAAGGTCCTTGTATTTTGAGAGTTTTTTGAATATCTTCAAAGATACATTGCAGTCTGCAGGTACTGCTATATCAATAAGGAGGCACTTTTTTTGTTTGTGGTCTTTAATAACAATGTCTGGGCGGTTGGCTCTGATTGTTCTGTCAGTGTGTATTGTATATTATTATTATTATTATTATTATTATTATTATTATTATTATTTGGCTATTAACCACCCAGCGGCTTTCACAGGAAATTTCAGATTTTCCCAACACTTTCATTTTCGGGCTGATTTTATTGATACTCTCGATTTTTTTTATTCATCCTCGGATTTCAATTTTCTCCAATCTATTTCCCACGATATTCTGAACTGTTTCAAACGCTACATATTCCTTTTATTTCTATTTTTCTTTTTCTTTTCTTTTTTTTTTATTCCTTTTACATCTCTAACAATGTTCATCAATGTTTTTCGCTTCGAAGTGATGGTGGGACTTGCGTATCGCAGCTACTCACTTAGCTCCCCGAATAAAGATATTTCTGAATGATTGTGAACAATCTGTTGGGCTTGAATCAAACATGGCTTCGTGTCCATATAGCACAGACTGTTCATGGCTTTCTGATAATTCACACGTAGGTTTGAGAAAAGGGATAATTTTGCAACAATTAAGGAACTAAAAATGACTGACGGATTACTTTAAGTAGAAACCGTTAAAAAGATGTTCCAAAGAACAGAAGTCTGACTCTAAAATAAGAGAAAAGTTATAAACTTATAAAATATAATTTTCCCATGTAATTTCTGTCTATTTTGTGTTTCTAAACAAGCTGATGATTTTTTAATGTGTTTGCTAAGTTATGTACACTCTTGTAGACTGCTTGTAGAGCATGGGGGAAATCTGGACTTGAAGAGGATAAAATTGTAGTGATTGGGAAATATCCTCTCAGGAGTCAGTTCCACAAAGCTTGGAAAGCCTCTTGGAAAGAAGCTGTCCCTTGGTGTGCTATCCTGAGGTCAAATTGGAGGCTTTACTGCTTTGGCTAAAGCAACTATGCTGCCCTGCTATTTATCAATAGCCAAATGGAATAAGTGGTTTTATGCCTTTCCTAAGGGAGTTTATGAGAATTGGACACAAACTATCCAGGCCATTGATTTTTATTCAGCATATTTTTGCATTGTATGAAGTGTGGCATACAATCATAGATAGTATCACTCGACAACTTATAAGAGCCTCACGATAAGTGAATCTTTCTATGTACGATCAACATGCGGGTATAAAATACTCGTTTTCACCTACTGAAAATATAACCGATTTTTAAAAGAAATTTATTCACGTTTAAAAAGTTCAAATGGTTTCAGACCTTCTATGGTGCATGCCATAATATTCTTGAATATCCAGGTTTTAAAGCCCGTAAAAACAAAAAAAAAAGATCTTGTTTCCGTGATATATTTGTTAAAATGCCATTTTTGCTAAATGCGTTTTTCGTTCTTTTGGAAAAAATTCAATGGATGGATTAGGGTTATTGCAGATTTGTGATTAACACGAAAGAAATGCTTCACTCATAACTTGCATCAGGTGCAGAAAGACTACAAGAGGTGAAGAACATAGTAATTTTAATCTCTAATGGATGCAAATTATTACGTTGGTAATTTCAGTTTCAGGGAACCAATCCTAACGAAAAATCTATTATCTTAACTATTACTCATACTGAGTAGTTAAGAATAAATTTGGAGTATACTAAAATACATTAGTTTTTGTAGGGCAATGGCCGCGTACACAATGGATGAAAAGAAAAATCAACATAAGGCCACAAGAATAACACGGGAAAATGGTTTGGAACTCTGTTGATCTGCTTTGCCCTTACCTGCCATATTCACCTGATCTTTGCACCAACCGTTTATTAACTTTTTTTTGATCGCTGCAAGATGTTCTGATGGAGAAAACTCTCTCAAATAAAAACCAGATTCAAAATTTCATCAAAAAATCTTTCACATTAAAATCTGTGGAATTTTACTCAAACGGTGTCGAATGGCTGCCTGGTGAGTGACAGAATTGAATAAAATAGAATTGTACTTTATTTTTTAAGCATTAAATTGATAAACAAAAATGGAAAAAAATACTAACTCAACCTATTGGAATATTTAACCTGGAACTAACCATAAACAATATCCCTTTAGTAAAATGGAATTTTCTCGGAAATAATTTTAAAAATCTATAAAAAAAAATTAATTTGGTAAAACAACAGAGAGAGAAAGGGGGCAGACGGTGATTATGAAATTTAAAATCAACTTAAAGTGTAAATTGTTCATCCAAGAACCTGGAAACATTAAATAAATTGATAACATTTTTTTCGCTACTGCATGATTCCAATGGAATTTGACGGTTAGACATTCATAATAATTTCCTTTGATTGTCATAAATTATTGTCTAGTATCTGAGCCCAGGTCATGCATACATTATATTGATAAAGAAAACCAACAAACATTCATTATCGCGACCTGGAACACAAACGTTCGACTGACCTTGTGTCAGACTAATCAAAATCTAATAAATGCCTGTGATATCAGCACTTGAGTGTATCACCCTCAAAGAGACGACCGTAGCCCAATTCTGTCTCTTCCAGTCGACAATTGCAGCCTTTCTTATTCGTCTAATATAAAAATAGGACGACGTTTTCCCTTGTCGAAGCTCTAAGTACGTAAACAAGCAAAGGCAGGGGAACAGATGAGTGTGGTGCTGTAAAAGAACTCGTCGTGCAGTGGCAGGGTAGATTTTTTGGAGGGGGGATTGGGTAGAAGAAAAGATAGAAAGAAAAGGTAAATACAACTGACGGCATCTCCATCTAAAAACTTTAGCATAAAACCCCTCTCCCTCGCTCTCTCTCTCTCTCTCTCTCTCTCTCCTCTCTCTCTCTCTCTCTCTCACGGCGGCTTGGGTTTAATTGCTTGAGAAGGGTGGTGGGGCAGACTTGCTTCTCTTCTTGCATGACAGACTGCAATTCCTCGCTTCGTGTTGTTGTTTGGAAACAAAAATACATTGTCGACTTTTTGGCGGGCGTTTCGGGAACGCAAACAGAAAAAAAAAAACGACGGAACCAGTGTCGTTCACATTTGTATTATATAGCAATTTTACGTACATGCAACACACAAACAAATAATATATATATATATATATATATATATATATATATATATATATATATATATATATATATATATATATATATATGAAGAAAAATTTGAAAAACAAACCAAAAATCCTTAAATGCAATTATGTTGTTTAAAATGAATGAAATGTCGACGTCTGACGTTTCGGTTTAATAAACCTTCTTCAGGACAATATTCATTAAAATACAGTTCAGTTCAATTTGACAAAGACGATGGTTATAAAAAAACAAGTCTTATCCAAAACAGATAACTGAAAATTTTTAAAATGATCAGCTTTCCGTTTAGCATGGTCACGTTGTCGTCACATGGGCGACGCTTTCAAAAAAACGTAATCCTAAAAATTTTGATTATTTTGAATGAAAAGAAAATGAAAAGAATTCTATTAGAATCTAAAATTTTTATGTGTATGTGTATGGCCATGTGACGACAACGTGACCATTTACATTTGCTTATTTATATATATATATATATATATATATATATATATATATATATATATATATATATAAAAAAAAACACTAAGGTCTAAAAAGGGTTCTGATAAAAAGAAAGTGCTCATCGCTTCACAGCAGAGCAAATATTCTTATTATTTATAAGAAAGGTATCTTCAGTGGTCTGCTTATACTCAGGGTTCCATCCATACATATAATACACAATTCTCAGGTGGTCGTGTCGGTAACCGTTCATTAAAGATAGTTTTCTTCTTAATAATGAATATATATATATATATATATATATATATATATATATATATATATATTATATATACTGAAGTCAACATCAGAGGCGACAGGCTGATTCATGCTAGACACAATCTGCAGCCTGACGATTGTGTCCAGCATGAAACAGCCTGTTGCCTCCAGTGTTGACTTCAATGTTCACTTTTATATTTATATTTACATACGCTCTATTTCTGATATTGAGCACTTTATCCCATAAATACAGCACACCTTAAAACTATATTTATTCATATATATATATATATATATATATTGTGTTTATTTCTGTTGTTTACTCAATGCAAGGCTCAAGAGTGACTCATGGTAGAGTGCAACAATGAGGTTGTTGCCCCGAGACTTGATGAGGTTAAGATTATAGTGATCGGAGAAGCATCTTCTGTTCCACAAATTTGCGCTTTTGGGAAAGAAACTGTCTGTTCGAAGGGAATTAGAACTCGGTCACCCAGAACTTGGTTTCTTGACCTATCTATGCTCACATTCTCTGTTTGGTCTCCCGAAACGTTCAGCATTTGTCGTTAAATGTCATGAATGTACATTTTCCGCATGAAGGAATTCAATAACATACCGGTGATATATGTAAAATTTCATGTCAGACACCATTTTGCCAGATTGTTATCTGTAAAAAAATTATTATAGGTTATTGATGGGAAGTTCCAGTGTCTAGTGGCATACCCACAACGTCCGCCTCTGACGCCATAGTCCAACTGGAGACATAAATTTCAGAGCTATATATATATATATATATATATATATATATATATATATATATATATATATATATATATATTGTGTATGATATAATTAGAAGGGGACGAGAAGATAACACCAGACCGAGTGCCAAATCGCTAACGATGTTAAGAATTTTAATATCAATTTAAGAACTTACTGAAGATAAAATTTAATTTGTTCCTAGCACCATTAACCAAATAAATGCAGTTAATTGTTAATGAGAATACATTTAATGACGAGATATCAAACTTACCATTTCATAAATGAAGAATGCAGAACTTCACAACAGCAAAGAAACTCATAATCATAAATATTAATAATGCAACTTACATAGTTCAGTTTGGAACAAGGACACTATTGTGGGGACACCTAATGAAGATCCCTTTCACTATATAAGCTATAGTCTCCGAAACTAACTTCTTAGCAATATTACTAGAATAGGTGCCGCTTCATTCGTCAAGAAAATCAGCAAGAGAATTTACTACAATGAGATACAAGCATAAAAGAAGATTAAAAAAGTCATTGTCTTCTTGTGTTTACAACGAGAAATAACAGCGGTTGAATGAGAAGATTAAATAAAAGTGGGCCATTGTCTTCAGCTTATTTACAAAAGCGAGCTGAGCCTTCCTTTATGCATATAGTTTAACTATTGGTCGGTAAGTCGAGTTTACTTCAAACATCGCCCTAGCGTAGGCGCGTGGTTTGGTGTCACCGACGAAGAAGCTACGGAAGTCGACGACTGCACATGCGCAAGTTGATTAACGATTTCATTAACATCTGCCTTTGTTTTGGTTGATAAACAAAATGCTTTTCTTATTTTTGTCGACCTAGAAAAATGCATTTACCCGCTTACACCATTGATTACAGGTAATGGGATTTATTTGCTTGTACTTTCAAAAATACAGACAATTTCTTTCTCTTTTTACACCGATCTGATCGATTTTACTTCAAAATGTACTCACCTAATGATTTTATTCTCGTCTAACAATGTTGATATGAAACATGGTGGATAAATATGAGATACACGTATACGCCAACATCCGTATAATGTTCGCAAACATTATACAGATGTTGGTGTATACGTCTATCTCATATCTCTACTCTCACCTTTTACCTGTATCTTCTCATTGCTTTCCTTACACCTTCTATTCTACATTTCCGATTCTTGTCTTTATGTAAATGCTATACAAACATGAGTTCATATGCAAAAAAATAGAATAAGGAATACACAAATATTTTTAATCTCTCCTCTCTTTTGTCTTTCTTTTGCTCTAGTTTTCCATAAAACATTTTAATGTATAAATGTAAAAGACAATAGGAAAACTGTAATAGGTGCCGACGCGTTTCATCCGGTGGCTGACGGTATTTATTGTAATAAATACAATTATGGCACAAGGCTGATGAAGGGGAGGGATTGAGGCTGGTCTTCACTAACTATCTTATACCTAGCTAATTCGATTCACAACCCATTCATTCATTACAATTTGCCTATTCACCACAAAAACTCGTCCATCACCAATCAATCCTCCATACACTATAATACCGCATCCTCGCCGTAAAAATTAATGATAATAAATACTTAAAAATCTGTGATGAAAAATGAGAGGGGTGGGAATGAACCCCAAAACAAACTAAATATAAACACAAAATAAACTAAACATAACTGATGTTAGTAGGGCCTGTCCAACCCTCAAAATGAGAGGCCGCTTTATTCTGCCTATTTGGACAAAATCAAGAAGCTCTCTCGCTAAGGGAGTGGGAAAAGGAGAAAATATACACGGACATGGGAAAGAAAACCTGACCCAGTCGAGGTAAAAAAAAAGGGGGTCAAAACAAACTGGGGAGGTTGGGAATCTCAACTTGGATCATAACAAAAGATGTAGCCGGGAACATGCTAGGAACAACATTTACTCACATTAACTAGGTACACTAAAGCTTGTCTGACCTAACCAGGAGGAGGGCTCCGTAGGAAACCACCCCGATGTGACGGTTTGACCTAAAAGAGAAAATCAAGGCTAGCCCCGTTCAAACGAACCAAACTCTTGAAGAGACCAAGATATATTGTTCAGGAAGAACCCAGGCGGGAAACTGTTTCACAAAGTGACATTTCTGGGAAAAAAAGCTGTCAATGTGGTAATTCCATTTTTTTTATTCGACTCCATGGAAGTAGAGTGATGTCCCCAAGTAGGACAAATCTGAGCTAGTGGAACGAATGCATGGAGCTCTTGTGAACGTTTCCCATAGAAATAGCGATGGAGTAGCAATAGTTTTGCAACGTTGCGTCTGTGAGGAAAAAGATTGCAGAGTGGAAAAATATCATTTCCCCACAAGAGCGCATAAAGGATTTTGAATTCTGTCAAAGTTGGAATATGACGATTGAAGAGTTTCAGCCCCAACATGTCAGCAAATACTCCATCTTTTGTTGATTTATATCAAGGTACAACATGGCGGAAGGCGTCCTTGATAGTTCTCGAGACGGTATAGTGAACCAACCATGTTTCCCACCTTCTTTAGTAACGAACTGCATTTATGAGTTCAACTTGAAGACTGAACTGAAACAACTGGATTGAACTTGACGCTTAATGAAAGTAACAAGCTAATCGGTTAAATAAGGTTAAATTGGTAGATGATCTCAAAAATGACCTACAATCTGCTGTTAACCGAAGCAAGGAATGGCTTGTTAATTTTAACGCCGCCAATACAAAACTCCTCTCTACTAATTGTCCGAGTGTCCGCTTTCTACTTCCCATCAGCATGGCTGATGCTAATCTCCAGAGGAGGGAGTCATTATTTCTTCTCAGGCTAACGTTCTCTACTAACCGAAATTGGAAAGATTGTATTGCTAAGAAACTTAACTCACTGTGTTAAACTAGACAATTTCTCCCTCCAGAATCTATCTGATATATTAGAAGTCTACCATTCATCTACACATTGAATATTGCTGCCACGTATGATCTGGTATTCCTGCTATAAATTCAGAAATCCTTTATAAAAATCAAAAGAAGAATCTGCAATCTTGTTGGTCCTAACCTGGCATCTCGATTTCAGTCCCTTTCCCGCGTTAATATAGCTTCACTGTTACCTTTCTATAAATATTTTCATGGTAATTGTTCTGAAGAACTTACTTCTATTGTTCCTAGACTTTATGAATTTAAGCGCAGTAATAAATTGTCAGCAAGATCTCATCATTTTACAGGTGAGATGACGAGATGTAACCGTAAGTTCTATGCTAACAGTTTCTTTTATCGCACTTCTTGCATGTGGAACTCTCTTTCGTTTTCTTGCTTTCCAGCCAACGTTAATTTTAAAACTTTAAATGCAATGTCAATTGTTATCTACTGTCCTCCTGGTTACTATTCTGTTGTTTTCGCTCCTTAGTAA